TTTTCAACATCCGAGAACTAGCTATTGCGTGATCCACAGGGCTGCTTCAAGGCAGACCAAATAACACAGCATTTCTTGTTGCCCATAGGAATTTCAATATACATATGATTGCGGCGCAATGTTACCATTTCGTTTGACAATGATAGATGTTTAACAGTATCGTACTTTCCAATCCTGTAAGCCTTTTCTTTATCAACAAACAAACGAATATCAGAAGCAGGCGTGTGGGGAGCAATGTAAATGTTAGCTAGTGAAGTATGATGAAAGCAACTGAGAAACGGGGGCTTACAATAAAAAAATACAATTTATCTTAGAAGTACGGAAGTGAAAATATTTATGACCTTCTTATACCATTTTCTGTTGACAAAAAGTAACCACTCTGCCATCTGTGTGAAAGAAATTCACATTTCAATCGCCTAGGAAGATGCATGACGTTGTCCTCAATTTCTGGATGTAGCTAACTTTCTTGGAATAGAATTACCCCTACGTTCTTACATTCCTTTTTATGTACCATGCTCTAGGCATCATTGAGTTTTCACGTGAGCAGATGAATGTTACTTCAGTTAATAGATGGAACGGTCAAATTATCAACGGAACGCCGCTTAAGCTCGACGCACCAGCTAGCACGGCGTTTATTAGTGTCCTTGAACATCTTTCCACACTCGTTTGAAGTGATTCCTCACAGAATGGATGAAAGGCAGAAATTGATATTTCTGCGCGATTAACTGCAAAGATTTTAGACACGTGGCACTGAAGGATATCATTTGACCTTTGAAATTTGTGGTCACATGCGCCCTACCTCATCGGTTGTACTGCTCAACTGTTTAAAAGAATAGGATTTCATAGTAGTTTCTAGATATATCCAAACTCCTTTCCCGAAATAGTGGTATAGCCAGCAATGTTTCGGTTTAGTTTATTATGTGTGAGCACATCGACGCATGTCAGAGAATAGCTGATAAAATCTTGAACGACGAAAATCACTACTTGCACAACAAACTTCCTAAAACTAGACTAAACCCTCCTTGCCGCTCCCATTATAAACCACTTCCAGCATGCGCATACAGAAAGTGCATTTTCCCTTTTCTTACCTGTTTCTTTTTGTGAACCTGGCACCAATGAATACAGGTCTGGTGGGTAATCTCGAGTTAGTAGTTTAACTATCACTATAGTTTTCTTGCTCACATTGTGCTTTTTCTTTCGTTACCCCCTCCAAACTGTTTTACTGTTTGTCTCCTGTTTGCACTGTATTCTCGGTAGCAGAACTGTAAGTTTACCTCTTGGGTGTATAAAGCTTATTTTTACCTAACTTAAGGAGAATACTGTACATACCTCAACCCAATACCTCATGATGCACCCTTTGTAAAGTTATCATCATTTGCATAATCATGAATAATTGAGCTATTTCCATCACTACCTGTTTCACTTACTAAACCATAACGGTCACTCAGATGCAATGGGCCTGTGAAAAGAGACTGTTTTGGATGAAACGTGATGCAAAAAGGACAAGAATCTAGGCGATAAGGTTGACTAAAAAAGGGGAAGCTGCAGATGTCAGGTTGTCGCCATTGGCATTGTGGTTAAAATATAGCATTCGATCCGGGAATCACAGTGAAAAATGGTGACTTCTGTTAATTAGTGAATGCATTCAAAGTTGATCATGCTATTCAGGTGAAATACTGCTAGCGCTTTCACTGTATCCCTTCATCTTTGCTAAGCACCTTATAGAATGTGCGGTTCATTACCAGAAGTATGTAAGTAATCGCATTTTGTTTAGGTGAATTAGTGTTATTCCGGGGAATCTAGGCCTTAATGGGCTATTGTGGTCCTAGGCTTCACCCGCTCGTGCAATAAATCATACCAACATTCACGCCTGAGCAAAGTGACGATTTATCCATCCATCTTGACGTAGTTCGCATCCTTACTCGGTCGACTGAGGTCAAGCACAGCCGGATTCGTTCGCTCTCGTCTAAGGCACACTTGACCAACTGTCAAAGATAGAGCGGTTCCGGAATGAGGGACGAGTAGCCAAATCCTATCTCAACGTAACCTACAACCTCGAACGGTAACTCTTTTGAAAATTACTTTTGTTTGTCTTGGTAAAAATTAGTTGATTCCTACTGGAAGAGTCTTTCGTAAACCACGTTCAGTTGATGACCTCTGACGCTGAAAGGACCAATCGCTTTGTGGGATTCTTAGTAAAATGCGATTGGTTTGATTCACTTGAAGTTATGACGGCTGAAATAGACAGACCGAT